ACCAAGCCTACGCTTGAGAGTCATAGTCTGGGTTCAAATTCCACCTCCTACTGGACAAAGTAATATGTGCATGTAATCCCAGCACTATGGAGGCTGAGTCAGGAGTATCACGCCGTCAGTTGGAGGCCAGCCTGCGCTACACAGTGGGTTCAAAGCCAGCCTGAACTGCACAGCAAGACTGTCTCAAAATTAATTAATTAATTAATTAATTAATAAAATAAATAACCCGCCCCTCCACTTACTGGCCTCATTAAGAAACTGTATTAACCTTCCAAGGCCTCCACTTCCACATTTGCATTCACACCTTCCTGGCAGGCATGGCACCGAAGTGCCTTGGCCCAGCGTTACAAATGGCAGCAGGCCCTCATCCAGCGTTTCCTATGTTCTATGCACCTTTATGGGCTTTCCTTGTAGCAGCTTGATGAGTCTTCCCAACTAAGCTACACGGCCCTTCACTGGTGGTAGGGCATTTGGAAGAATTTGATGCAGTGTATATGATCTGGGAAAGTTTTTCTAACCCAACAAAAGTTTGTCTAGCCCATCCTTACTGTCTATGCACCTGTGACTAATGATAATTCTCACCTGTGACTTTGCCTTTGCCGTGATTTTTAGTTTAGCTTCTTTTTTTTTTTTTAACATTAGGGTTGGAATCCAGGGCTTTGCTCATGCTGAAGTGCTCTCCCACAGAGCCGCACTGCTGCCCTGAGTTTCTCTGGTGCACTTTCACACACCTGCATCGGTGCTGCGCATAGCAGAGGCCTCTGGCCTGGAGCACTTGGCCAGCGATACAAGGTGTAAGCACCTACTCAAGAGAAGTCTGAGGAGGTTACAAGCCCTACACAGTGTTTGTCCTTCTGAAAGATAAGAACACAAGTAATATGCAGAGATGCTCACTGGCCAGAAGGGGTAGGGAAAGGGACAGGGTGAGGGTGCAGGTGGGCACTCAGAACTGCCTGGATCCTTGCGTCAGAGCAGGCTGCTGTTCTGTCCCTTACAAAAGCTGTCCAGCTAGGGGAATGGGCAGGGGATGGCCAGCACTGCCCAGTGGGCAATGAGGGAACAAAAGGGAGAATGGGAATAAGGCCCCCAGCAAGACCACACACTCGCTTGAAGGTGCTCACTGCCACTGTGATGTGGGTGGGAGCTGGAGGAGGCCTAGCACTGTCACAGGAGAGAAAGGGTAGGGAAAGGCAGGGAGACTAGAGCTCCTATTCAGTAGAAACAGTGGGTGAAATACATAGCCACAGAGTGGAATCCAGGCATTCAACCCACATATGACCAACACATACAAGCAAAAAGATTTATATCAAGCTGACTAATATAGTTGCCTGTGTGGAGGGGGACAATGGAATGGGACAGGAGGTTAAAAGGAAATAAATGGCTAAGCAAAACTAAAGAGGTCTCTTGCACAGATAATATGGAATGGAAAATGTGATAAATTATATTAAAATATGATTAATTTGCCCCCCCATCCCTCATCTGAGGTCCAGGAAGTAGGGGCAGGAAAAGTGTCTAGGAGAAAAAGTCAGAAAGTCCAGGTTCTAATCTGCGCTTTGTTACTAACTGGCTGTGTGACAAGTAAGAGCCTTTGCCTCTTGGGGGCCCCCATGTGGATCTCTGAAAAGAAATAAATCTCAGGTCTGTTTCCAGCCCTGTGATTTTATTAGCCATGATCAATAATCTTGGATTTGCTTGGGAGAGTATCCAGTGAAGGATTTGTCCAGTGCTAAGGCTTGAATTTTGAAGGTGGGAGGGTAGGGCAGAGGCCAAGAAACCCAGAGGTCTATAAACCCAGAAACTTTATAGCAGAGGAAACTTTGAAAGTAAAAAGGTATGGAAACTTCAGCAGATGGTTATATAGTCAGTCGGACTGATAGCTCCACAGATTGAGCAAGTCTCAGTCGCCCCCCTTGGGACCCCCACACCTGGCTGGTAGGACCACCTGCAAGAGGATAGCCAGCCAGAAGGCTTTCTCTCCTCCCCTGGTCTGCCTTACCAGCTCCCAGTGTGTGTCATCAGAGGAACTCAGACTGTCCCGTTCCCACAATCCTGCTCGGGCTTGCCCCTGACCATTGCTCTTCCACTCCCACAAGGGTTCTTTCTGCCTCTCTGGGCTTACCACGTCGTCTCTACCCAGGTGACTTTCCACTCCTAGCTCCCCAAGGCCTCAGCGGGGGTTCTTCACCTGGTTTTGCTGCTTGTACTCCTTGAATGTAACCCCCCCCCCCCATCAGCAGTGAGGCTCCAGGCATGCAGTGATCATCCTCACCCTGGGAGCCTTGTCTGAATTCCTAAGTCTCAGGGAGGGGCAATTGGGAGCACCCGCTCTCCAGGACAGGGTCCTTATCACTGCCTCGATGCAGCATCTCCTGCTCCATCCACCGTACTTAGCACTTCTGCTCCCTGCACACTCCCATGCTCAGCCCTCCACATAATCTTTAATTATCTGAATACAAACACATTCACAGTTCTGTGGCTGTGCACATACCATCCCCTCTGCCTGGAGGGCATCCATTCTTCCACAACTACCGCTAGGCTAGCCTGGTCTGCCTTGCAAATCCAACTCACTATTAAGACCCGGTTTATGGCCAGGCATGGTGGTGCACAGGCTGTAATCCCAGCACTCAGGAGGCTGAGGCAGGAGGATCACTGTGAGTTCAAGGCCGGCCTGAGTTACATAGTGAGTTCAAGGCCAGCCTGGACTACTAGATCCTGTCTCAAAACCAAACAATCTACCAACCCAGCTTAGGTGTCACCTCCTCTGAGTGCCACCTCCACTTCCTCCTTAAGAGGCAGAATTAATCTCCATCATTAGTGCCACGCTTGCACATGACAATGCCTGGACATGCTCCTTTCACCATACCGAACCCAAGTACTGGTCCATGTCCCCAGGTAGTCTGTAAAATTCTTACAGGTGTGCTGCGACACAGGTGGGGACTGTGTTGTCAACCCTGAACTACCTATACTTGGCACTGTGCCAAATACAGGCCACACAGAGCCATGGATACAGTTTGTGCAACTGAGTTTGATTTCCATTTGGTGAGTCTTCCTCTTTACTCTCCACAGAAAAACCTAATTGCTTTTTCTTCCCCCTTAATTTTGAAAGCCCTGCTTACCACGCAGCTGCACTGTGCCTCTCAATTCTTTGATGGATGAAGGAAGTGAACTGGTCCAGCCCCAAGACCAGGGCTTCTGGGCCACTCTCCCGGATGTGTGCCTGCGCCGTATTTTCTGGTGGCTTGGGGACAGCGACAGATCAAGGGCAGCCTTGGTCTGCAGAAAGTGGAACCAGGCGATGTATTCAGCGGATCTCTGGCGATACAGGGCCATCACCTTCAGCGGGAGACCATCCCGGTTGCATGCATCGGAATTTGAGTCGGCTCTCTGGTATATTAAGAAATTTGGTCGTTATTTGGAATGTCTAGAGATCAAGTTTCTGAATCCTTACAATGCTGTCTTGACCAAGAAGTTCCAGGTCACCATGCGAGGTCTTCTGTCCTGCCTGGGCCGGAGTAACAACCGCCTGAAGTCGCTTTCCATCCAGCACCTGGAGCTAGACCGCCTGGTGTGGAGGAGCAGCATCAGGAACTCGCTTATTAAAAGCTTGAGCTTCTTCTTAAAGAAAATGGGCAAGTATCTGGAATGCCTCAGCCTGAAGGGGGCCAGGCTGACTGTGGAGCAGGGCTGCCAGCTACTAAACTCCGTGAGCTACCTACGGAATGTGAGCACCGCCTCGGATCTTAACATCGAAGACTTCTTCAGCCACCACCTGACTGTCTACAGCAGCCCCCAGTTCAACAAGACCATGACCACATTCTGCAATCTGGCATTCCTGACACTCAACTACAACTGTGTTTCTGATGAGCTGCTCGAGAACTTGGCTGAGAACACTGCCAGTACTCTCCGGACTATGAATATCAAATGTCACGTTCATGACCCCCACAGCCAGGTCATCTGGGGCATGTCCTGGGCCAAGCTGGCCAGGCAGGCCAGCAACCTGAAGGTGAACTTCTTCTTTGAGCGGGTCATGAAATACGAGCGTTTGGTCCGCATCCTCCTGCAGGAGATCCCCCTCAGGAGCATAAGTCTGAAAAGCTGCTACTTCACTGACCCTGACTGGTCCATGCGGCCCACTCTGACAGACCTCCTGCCCACCTTCCGGCACACCCTGCAGGTAAGTAGGGAGGGAGGCCCAGGGAGGCTTACAAGCAGCAACTGTCATCAGGTAACCTGATTCCCCAGAGGAAAGCTTGCTAATTCTACCCTGAGCATATATGAATTATTATCAGACTAAGCTGCCCCCACGTCCTCAAGACCAGAGCAGATGACAAAAAATGCTGCTTACTTTTGACATGAGACATAAGGAATGTTCTTGTTGGTGACCAACCAAAAAAAGTCCCTGTACTATAGCGCTCAGAGGCGCGAAGCAGGTGACCTTTTCTCAACAAGGTCCCAGTAACACACAGAGATCGTGTGGCTCCTATGGTCAGCTCTAAACAAGGGACCCATCTGGTTCCAGCAGTGCCTGGGAATTGGAAAATAGAATGGGAAGAGCCAAACCAGATAGAAAATCAAGATTAACTTAGGGCCCTGAAGAGCTCAGGGGTCCTGGAATGTACCGTGATACGTAGTCTTGTCACCTGTAAGACCTCAGGACCTTATCATTATCACAGTTGACACTGATAGGAATAAATACCAGTGATTGCTGATAGGGGTGGGCTACAAGGTACGAACAGCTTATTTGAATTCCTACAACATGACCACAGTCTTTCTCGGATCTCTTCCTTGAAGATTAAATATCTAGTGTTTCCTGTCTAAAAAGCTCCTAAAGCACCATAGCAATATGCCTGAGCTCAGCCTTATAGATGTTACAGACAACAGGTAACTCAGTTGTGCTCCAAATTTTCTGATCAAGAAGATTGTGGAGCCACAGAGGAATGTGAGCAAGGATGTATAGTGTGCCTGGGGAGAGTCACATGGAGAGAAAAAACATTCTCTCAAGCTTGCACAGAGAGCAAATTGGTCAAGCAATGGCCATGACTCATCCTCATGGCAGACACTGACAAAAGGATGTACAAAGGGCGGTACAGGGCTACAGGATAAATCCTGAGAGTACTTGGCTGACCTCATCAGATACAAAAGTTACATTTCTTGTTATATAGGTCTTGCTATATCTTGGTCTTAACCATCCAGCAGAAAAGTATAAAAA